AGCTTTTAGTGGATTTAGGCAAATTCTCAATTTGAGAAGTGCCTCGCAGATTAGGGCTGCTTGCCCGAAACTGTGTTATAAATATTTGTGTCACAACGTCTGTTTCAACGTTACCGAACTCAAACGTCTATATTAATTTCAATTGGTATCAGAGCGGGTCTGCTCAAGTTACCAGCAGGATCCAAATGGAGTTCCCAAGAGAAGGTCTTTCAAACAACAGACCCCCGGCTTTACTTGGCACAAACTTCTCCTACTGGAAAGCTCGAATGCAGATATACATTCTAGCACAAGGAGAAGGCGTCTGGAATGCAATAGAAAACGAATGGAAAACTCCGGTTGATGATAAAGGAAATGCAAAACCTAGAACTGATTGGAGCGAAGAAGAGAAAACTGAATATGACTTCAACTCAAAGGCTATGAATGCAAAATATGGGGCAGTAAGCGAAGACACTTTTAAACTAATTGCATCAACACGCATAGCCAAAATTGCGTGGGGTATATTGTGCGATCATCATGAGGGAAACACAACTGTAAGACAATCAAAGCTTCAGATGATACAAACCGAATTTGAAAACCTGAAAATGGGGGAGGAAGAAAGCATCACCCAATTCAGTGCCAGAGTCTTAAGTATATCTGGAGATGCATTCAACTTAGGCGACCTATACCCGAACATAGGATCGTCAAAAAGGTTCTACGCTCACTACCCGGAAGATTCCAAATGAAAGTCACCGCTATTCAAGAGCATAAAGATCTGAATACATACAGACTAAGTGACCTAATCGGAAATCTTCAAACCTATGAACTGGAGATGCTACAAGGTCAGAAAAACAATGGTAAAGGAATAGCATTACAGTCCAGACAAGAAGAGAACTCAGAAACTGATTCAGAAACCATGGAACAGTCAATTGCACTACTAACAAAGAATTTTAACCGAGTTCTCAAGAAGTTTAACAAGTCCAGAAATAAAAACTTCTCAAACAACCCGGTAAATTCTACAAATCAGAAACCATCCAATCCAAAGAGAAGAGATAGTGCAATTACTGAAGGAATACAATGCTATGAATGCAAAGGCTTTGGACACATTCAATCAGAATGTGCTACATACTTGAAAAGGAAAAATAAAACATATATAACAACTCTGAGCGATGACTCAGATAGTGAAGAAGATGATAACAATACGAACTTCGTAGCATTCACTGCTAGTCATGAAGACAACAATAGTGATGACATGCAAGAGTTACTAGAGGCATACACTCAACTAAATGCCAAATGGGAACAAATCATCAAGAAAAACTTGGAACTCATGGAAGATAATCACTATTTAAAGAATGAAAAAGAGCGAATAGAGAAACAGTACAAAGAAGCCCAGAACGAACTCCTAGATCTCAAGAACAGAGAAACAAAACTGCTACAAGAAATTAAGGAGCTTACCAAAAGACCCGGGACTCCAAACACGGACACCAGTGAGAATAATCAACCTGAAATACAGGAGGTGTCGCAACAGCACTTCCGACATCGAAGAAGAATAAGGTGCTACTATTGTCACAAACTAGGACACATCAAAGCACATTGCTACAAAAGACAAAACGACTATTACTACAGACAAAACAACGGGGTATGGCCACCACACAACAGAAATAATAGCAAGAAAATCTGGGTAAGAAAAGACCAAAATGTTGCATACACTTCCAAAACAAACAAAGAGCAAGATATATGGTATTTTGACAGTGGATGTTCCAGGCATATGACTGGAAATCCAGAAAATTTAGAAAACATACACTATAAAGATGAAGGATATGTTACCTTTGGAGATGGAGGAAAAGGAAAAATTGTTGCAAATGGAATCCTGAATGTACATGGACTGCCAAAACTGCCAAAAGTCTTCCTAGTACAAGGGTTAAAAGCAAACCTGATTAGTATAAGTCAACTATGTGAAGATGAACTTAAAGTGGAATTCACAAAAGATAGTTGCAATGTTCTCAATCATAATCATGAATGTGTTATGATCGGAAGAAAATCCGCAAATAAATGCTACACATGGGACGGTGATCTATCTTGCCTACAGACAACCGTCAATCAAACACAACTATGGCACCAACGGATGGGTCACATAAACTTTCATGACATGAAAAAGGGTTTAAAGAAGGGAGCCTATCGAGGAGTTCCAACACTTGACATAGATGATAACAAAAAATGTGATGCATGCCTTGAAAACAAAATAACCCGAACAGTCCATAGGAAGACCTCAGGAATATACACTTCTAGAATTCTAGAACTACTACACATGGACTTGTTTGGGCCAACTCAGACAGAAAGCATAGGGGGAAAGAGATATGTTTATGTAACAGTTGATGACTACTCAAGATTCACATGGGTAAACTTTCTTAGAGAAAAATCTGAAGCATTTACAACATTCAAAACCCTCATTATCAAAATTCAGAATGAAAAAGAGGGAAGAATAGGAAAAATTATTCGCCTAAGAAGCGATCATGGAAGAGAGTTCGAGAATACAAAATTCAAAGAATACTGCACAGAGAATGGAATTCATCATGAGTTCTCCGCACCAAAAACACCCCAACAGAATGGGGTAGTTGAACGAAAGAATCGAACCATCCAAGAAATGGCAAGAGTCCTCTTAAATCAAAAGACTTCCATCAAAATTCTGGGCAGAAGCAGTTAACACAACATGCTATTTGATAAACCGGGTATTCATTCGAAAAGAAATCAACATGACACCATATCAAATCTGGAAAGGAAGAACACCAAATTTAAAACACACACATGTGTTTGGAAGCAAATGCTATATTCTAAAAGATAGAGAACCATTGGGAAAGTTTGATATCAAAGGAGATGAAGGAATCTTCCTAGGATACTCCTCAAACAGCCGGGCATACCGAGTATATAACCTCAGGACAAACACTGTCATGGAGTCTATCAATGTTATGGTCAATGACACAACAGAAGATTTCCCCAAAAATGATGAAGAGATAACTGGTGTTGAAACAGCAGTTCCAACATCACACAACCAGAAATCAGAACCAGAAATATTAGAAAAAGAAGAAACTGTAGACCTTGAAGAAGAAATCCACACCACTGATGAAACCAGGGTACAGAAAAATCATCCAATAGAGAACATCATAGGAGGACTAAATGAAGGAATCAGGACTAGAGGAAAGAAACGAGACTATCAAAAAATGGAAGAAGGAGACTATGACTACTGCTACACCTCAAAAATTGAACCCAAAAACATCACGGAAGCCCTAAAAGATGAATTTTGGGTAGAAGCCATGCAAGAAGAATTACAACAATTCGAAAGACACAATGTCTGGGAGTTAGTCCCTAAACCGGAACATGCCAATATCATAGGGACAAAATGGATTTACAAAAATAAAACGGATGAACAAGGAAACATCATACGTAACAAAGCCCGACTAGTAGCTCAAGGATACACTCAAGTAGAAGGAACAGACTTCGAGGAAACATTTGCCCCAGTAGCCAGAATTGAATCAATTCGGCTACTCATAGCAGTAGCTTGCATACTCAAGATAAAACTCTACCAAATGGATGTGAAAACTGCATTCCTGAATGGATATCTAAAAGAAGAGGTCTATGTTGCTCAACCAAAAGGATTTGAAAACCCCATTTTCCACAAAGTGTGTTTAAACTTAACAAAGCACTATACGGACTAAAACAAGCACCACGGGCTTGGTACGAACGCCTCACTGATTTCCTAATCAAAAAGGGTTACACAAGAGGCAGCGTGGACAAAACCCTATTCGTCAAACAACTCGGTCAAGACATAGTCATTGCCCAAATCTATGTTGATGACATAGTATTTGGCTCAACACTCAAGGTCCACAAAGACCAATTCATCATCAACATGGAAGGGGAATTCGAGATGAGCATGGTTGGGGAACTAACCTACTTTCTTGGTCTACAAATCAGACAACTGGACAATGGAATCTTTATCTCTCAAAGCAAGTATGCCAAAAATTTAGTCAAAAGATTTGGTCTAGAAGAAAGCAAGGTTGTCAGAACACCTGTTCCAACAACAGAGAGAATATCAAGGGATGCAGAGGGAAAACCGGTTGAACAAACCCTATATCGAAGCATGATAGGAGGGTTACTGTACCTAACTGCCAGCAGACCAGATCTAAGCTTTGCAGTAGGGATTTGTGCAAGATACCAAGCAGATCCAACCGAGCAACATTTAAAAGCGGTCAAAAGAATCATTAAATACGTGAAAGGGACATCTGATCTAGGAATATGGTACTCATTTGACACCAATCATCATCTCTCAGCTTATTGTGATGCTGACTGGGCAGGTAACATAGATGACAGAAAAAGTACGTCAGGAGGATGTTTTTTCCTAGGTACTAATCTAGTATCATGGATCAGCAAGAAACAAAGCTCAATTTCACTGTCAACAGCAGAGGCCGAATATATTGCAGCAGGAAGCTGTTGCACACAACTACTTTGGATGAAACAGATGCTAGAAGACTATGGAATGCAACAGTCAACTATGACAATTCACTGTGACAATAAGAGCGCAATAGACATTTCAAAAAATCTAGTTCAACACTCAAGGACAAAACACATAGACATCAGACATCATTTCATAAGAGAATTAGTTGAAGATGAAATCATCAGTCTTACTCACATAAGTACAGAAAGACAACTAGCAGATATTTTGACCAAAGCTCTAGATGGAAATAGATACACAAAACTAAGGGCTGAAATGGGCCTGTGTATCCTATAACACTCATCAATTAAAAGAGAAACACATGGGCCCAATCCACAAAACAAGTCCATCAACCCAAAACCGGCCCATGTCCATATCTGATATATCACACCGACCCATCATAAAAGACCCAAACCCGGATACCCATCCCAAACAAAAGCCCTGTTTCAGAAACCCAAAATCGTCATCCTTACCCGACTCCACTCAACATCCATAAGTGACCTTCCCACTCACCCCAAACCTTCACACAACAGGAACCATGGTGAGAACACGAAACCAAAGGATGGGAAAGTTACCACGAAAGAGAACGAACAAGGGCACCACAAACTACACCGGCACCGGAGAGTCCTCGAACCCGGTATGTGTCGAAGAAGAAAGTCCCAACATTGCAACAAATCCCGTTCCGATAGCCAGAGTACCGTTCGGCGAACCCCAAGAACAGAGCCACCCACCAGGTAACCCGAATCTCCCTCTAGCAGATCATGAAGAAATCCCCATGCCCATGCCCATCGCGGCTGATTTCGGGGACAATAGAATTGTTGATCCGAACGATTTAGTGGTACAACTCCGGTTTGCCATAAATCGTGGCTGGGAACCTGATCTAGGTTCCTATGTTAGCTCTGTAGATGAAGAAAATCCAAGGGGAACTGAAAATGAGGGACAAGAGGAGTTTCAACATCATGAGGTGAATCGTCCCCCAAGTCCTACAAATGGAGAACAAACCCAAATCGATGAAACTCCAAATCCAATTCCTCGGGTCAACCGAAACCCTAGAAAGAGGAAGGTGACTGACCCGTATGAAGGGGCCGATCCCAGAGCCAAAAGGCCGAATGATTTCCCAATACGGGCAGGACCCCCCCACCGACAGCCAAATATCCCACCTAAACCCTCAAAAACCAAGAAATCAAAAATGACACAAACAGAGGATGAACATGACTGGACACCCAATGAAGATAATGATGGTGATGAAAGAGTAAGGACCCGAGCCCAAAAGAAGTCCCAGCTACCTACCAAGGAAAAAGAAAAACAAAAGAAGAAACCAACCACCAAAAGGGATAGACTGTCCAGCAAGGAAAAGGGGAAACAGAAAGTAGGTACTAAGGAAAAGGGGAAACAGAAAGTAGGTACTAATGCTGACATGTCATACCTACCAAAACCCCATAGTACAACCTTTCTGAGAAAAGAAGCAGTAAGTTTATGGAAAAGAATAGTAGAAAGAAAAATTATCAGCCAAAAACTGCTTCCCATAGATAAGCTAGACAATCCAGAACAGATTCAAGAAATATTAATCACAAGTCAACTCCTGGGAACAGTGACCAATATAGAACCCTATGATGAACAGGTTATACAGGAGTTCTACTGCAATATGACAAAAACCATCTCTACACCTAGTAGTCCTTTGTATGGAAAGGTATATGTAAGAGGCAGTTTCTATAACTTCACTCCAGACATCATCAACAGATATCTAGGAACACCAGAAGCAGAACAAAACATGGAAATAAACAGTGAGCAAGTTGCCCAAGAGCTCACAGCTGGAAATGTCATTTTTGAAAAGAACAAGATCAAAGCAGCTTCCCTAACAAGCAAATATGCCACCCTCCAGAAAATAGCTCTAGCAAACTGGATGCCATCACTCCACGAATCCACTGTGAAATGGACTTTAGCAGAGCTGCTATACAAGATAGGGAAAGGAGTTAAACTCAACATGGGTGTCATTATCTACTCACAAATCACAAACCTAGCTGAAGACACAAAATCCAACACTTCCTTAATCTTTCCAAACCTCATCTTTGGCATCCTGACAAAACAGAATCTCAAGACACATGGCCCAAAAACCATTGTCAAGAACCTCAACACCACAGTAAAATTAAGGAAGGGAAGCCATCAAAATGACCTAAGATCCTCAGCCCCAAAGAACAATCCTCTAGACTCCAAGACACTAATCAGCTATTTTGAGGGAAGACTAACAGAATTGGAGACCTCAGAAAAACAAATCTTAAGGAAACACATGGACATCAAGGAAGAAAGAGCAGAGATATCAGAATGGTTAGAAATCCTAAAAGCAGCCAATGAAGAAGATCATGAAGAAGATCAAGAATCAGAAGAAGAAAGCCAGGAGCTCCCTCAAGAAAAGGATGAGCACACTCAAGAAAAGGGTGTTGAAACCCCTGTTTCAACATCAAATTCAGAAAATAGACCTTGACCATTTTAGCAAAAAAGGGGGAGAAAGGCAGGCAGAGAACTCTCTGTTGTGAGTTTTTTTTTGGGTTGCAGAGAAGGCAGAACTCTTGTTGTGAATCTTTGTTGGGTTGCACGGCAACAATTCTTTTTTGTTGGCACAACTTCTGGCATAGTTACTCTAAGCTTTTGTTACAAGCAGATCAGACAAGAAAGCCAAGCAGATCTTTGAGAGCTTAGCTCATTTACACCCCAATGATTCCTGTGTCATTTAAATTTATCCTCAGCATGGTAACCGGAAAGGATGTAAAATACCTTTATCTGGTATATATTATCTTATTTTTGCATATGCATATCATTTACCTTTGGGACCCAGGATGCATCCTAATATTAGCAATACTAGCCCAACTCTTGCATATACAAAAAAAAAAAAAAAAAAAAAAAAAAAAAAAAAAAAAAACAAGAGCTTAACTGTATCCAATGTCCCACAAATTAAGGGGGAGACAATTCCCCTTAACAATCTCTGAAGAAACAAGATACATCAGGATAAGAAGGAGATTCACAAATTAAGGGGGAGACAAATCACACAGAACAAGCCATGAGAAGATTCAAGATGAACCAAAGTTTTTGCTAAAATTTGACAAAGGGGGAGAATGTTGACTTGAGAACATTTTGTCAAATTCTAGTCAAAAAGGGAATACTAAGACAATCAAGGATTAGGACATATATTCCTAATCTAAATAGGAATAGTAATCCTATTCCTATCCAACCTGCAAACTCTCGGCCTACAAAAGGAACTGCTTCACAACTCTCTCATTCACGCTTTCAGCACCTAATCATGAGCACGAGAGTAATTGAGAGAGATTCCCAAATCCCCTTGAAAAGTAGTACAAGTGTTTAGGTCTCAATAGCTTGATAGGAAATCATATTGTGTAATTCTCGTTCCCTAAACAAAAGTGTACTTTAAATATTGAGCTTTTAGTGGATTTAGGCAAATTCTCAATTTGAGAAGTGCCTCGCAGATTAGGGCTGCTTGCCCGAAACTGCGTTATAAATATTTGTGTCACAACGTCTATTTCAACGTTACCGAACTCAAACGTCTATATTAATTTCAACTTACTTAGTTTTAGTTTGGGTCGGTTAACTATAGAAAATTTAAATTGATTTATCTTTTTGTGATTCATTGCCGACTATGGTCATAAGGCGGTGAGCTTTACCCATGACACACATTTGAATAGCAGATACGTGATTTTTTGTAAATCAAAATGATACAATCTCAACCTTTGTAATTGTATTTTGTGGACATAAATGGATAACTTATACATCAACTTTTTATATCAGCTGGACTAAAATATATATAGCATTATATAGTACATATACTTTTCATGAAAGAGCTAGGATTGTGAAAGTTTGTTGGAAATAAGCCATAATTAGACTGTCATTATAGCTTGGAAAATAGTGTTATTTTCAAACACACACAGTCTTTATCATATATTCACCCAAAAAAACATAGTCTTTATCATACAACTTTTTATTGATTATGTGGAAGGAAAATTTAAAAAATAAAAGAAATAGGTCAGTATAATTAATAGTCAATTGATCAATCAAATATGTTAGGAAATGAGGAGTAAAATTAAAAGGAATTTTTACCTTTTGTATTTAGTATAATCCACAAGTAATACACATGGTTGCACATTTGCATCAGGTGCTATGATAACATGTAGTTAGTAATATTAGATCTAGCCCAAATAGCAAAACAACACCGACATCAATTGTCACCTTAGATATTCTCATGATTAAAATACATGTAGGGAAAATTATGCGGTGAAACTGTGTCCACCTTGTAAGGTGGACACGGTTCTAAAACTGTTCATAATTATGAATATATAGTTCAAAAATTATGAACATATAATTCTATAATTATGAACATAGAGTTGTGAACATAATTATGAACATATATAATTTTGTAATTATGAATATAGAGATTCAATAATTGTGAATATGAAGTTACAAAATTATGTATATATAACTTTATAATTATGAACATATAGTCCAGTAATTATGAACAAAGAGTTCTGTAATTGTGAATATAGAGTATAATAATAATGAATATGAAGTTCAAAAATTATGAATATATAGCTTTATAATTATGAACATATAGTTCAGTAATTATGAACATAGAACCGTGTCCACCTTGCAAGGTGGACACGGTACCACAACATAACGATTGATACATGTAGGGAGTGTTTTGTAAATAGTTGTTAGCTGATTAGATTAGTGAATTTGAGTAGTTGATAGTATTAGCTGATTGTAGAAAGATGTTTGATAAATTAGCTTTAGCTAATAGCTTATTACATGCAAAATAACTTTCTAAAAAAGCTGAACAAAAAAGCTGCTCTGAACTTTAGCATTTTGGAGCAATAAGTTGTTACAAAAAGCTAATAAATCAAACACTTATATATATTGAACTAGTTTTTTACGCGCATTGCGCGATTGGGATAATACCCAATGTTTTTTTTTTTTTTTAAATGAAGTACTTTAAAGTATATCAAGGCAAGATTATATTGGAATTGTTCATGCATAGATAATTGAATGTTAGATTTGCGTATTTAAATAGGCAATTCTAAGTTTACAAATGCAAGATAATATAGTCAAGATTGATTATAATTGTCAATAAAATAATTGTATAGGTATGGTTGAAACCAAATACGGGACATAAGGGAGAGAAAATAAAAATTAGGGCATAAAATATTAAATATATACTAATATTAAAGAGCTAACTGCTAATTCCCAAACAAGGACATTGCAAGATAGTTTCCCACTTCAATTTGTTGTGTGATTTGAATACTCTTTTTGTCAATAAATCCTCCAAGTAGTTAATATGATTGGCTTATATATATATATATATATATATATATATATATATATATATTTTAAAACAATCATTATTATTATTATTATTATTATAATAATAATAATAATAATAATAATAATATATTATTATTATTATTATTATTATTATTATTATTATTTTTATTATTATTATTATTAAATATATGTATACCCTTAGGTCATTTTACATATTAATCTAAACAACTAATTTTTTCAAATTTCTTTTTACCAATTGTTGATATAATTCGTTAGTCAAATTCGCTAATATAATCCGCTAACGTTAATCACCAACTATTGATTGTCAAACAAGGACATTGCAAGGTAGTTCTCACTTCAATTTATTGTATGATTTGAATAATCTCTTTGTCAACAAATCCCTAAAGTAGTTAATATGATTGGCTTTATTAATTATATATATATTTTTAATTTTTCATTGTATTAATGAAATACTTGGTAAATAAATATATAGCATTATTTTGTATTATAATTTTGATATTTAATTAAAAAATAGTGCACAAAAAAAGATAATAGAAATGTAGTGAGTATAATCAATTGATTTTGAATGTAAAAAATTTTTACATTGGAGAAATATAAAGACAATATAACTAATAAAATTATTTCTCTTAATTAATTTATTGATAATGAATACTTTTTTAATAAAGACATTGTAGGGACAATGTAGCGTATATAATCAATTGATGAATTTGAATGTAAATTAGGGTTGGGGTTCAGCCTTTTGGAAGAATGAATTTGAATGTAAAGAATTTTTATATTGGAAAATCTGAGCTAATAGCCTTTTGGTAACCATTTCTATTACCAGGAATAATATTCCTGGTAATAGCCTATTACCTCAAATAAGGTAATAGCTATTACTAGCCCCCCCCCCCCCCCCGGTATTAGCCTATTACTGAACGCTCAGGAATAGATTTTAGAATCTATTTTCTTTTTTACCCCTTTCTTAACCTAATTTTTTTTTATCATATACATAAATTTATCCTATTTCACCACCGTCGTCACCACCACCACCACCATCGCCACAACCGTCGCAGCCCCCACCACCACCGCCGCCCCCACCACTGCCACCGCCACCACCACTACCACCCCACCGCCATCACCACCATCACCACCGCCGCCACCACCATCGCCGCCGCCGCCACCACCACCACCGCCACCAGAACCACCACCCAGCAGCACCACTCCCACCACCACCACCACCGCCGCCACAACCGTCGCCGCCCCCACCACCACTACCACAATCGTCACCGTCACCACCACCACCGTCGCCCCACCACTGCCACTGCCACCGCCACCACTACCACCCCAGCACCACCACCACCACCCCATCACCACCACCACCACCACCACCGCCACCACCATCTCCACCACCACCACCACCACCACCACCGCCACCACTACCACCACCACCATCGCCACTATCACATATTTTTATAAGGGTATTTATGTCTTTTAAACAATGTTGAAAAAATCGCTAGGCGCCCTCTAGGCGCCTGGGGACCGCCTAGGGCGCCTAGAGCGCCTAGGCGGGCGCCTAGAACGCCTAGGCGGGCGCCTAGAGCGCCTAGCCAGGTGCCTAGGCCGCCTAGGAGGTCAGGCGCCTAGCACCTAGGCGCGATTTTTGCAACAGTGCTTTTAAAACATATTTCATTTCTATTCCTTAAATCAACCAAACACTGTAATATAATTCCTAAATCTATTCCTTCCGCGAACCAAACAATAGAATACAATTCCTATTCTATTCCTTGCCTATTCCATTCCTTATGGAATAACATTCCTATTACCTCAAAATTCATTCCGTGAACCAAACGTGTTGTTAATTTATATAAGGTTTTAGGTTCTACCAGTAACCTAATTGCACATGACACACTACCAAGAAAAAAAAAAACATAAAAAAAGAGGACATGTACTGAACTCTATGTTCATAATTACTGAACTTCATATTCATAATTATTGAACTCTATATTCACAATTACAGAACTCTATGTTCATAATTACTGAACCATATGTTCATAATTATAAAGGTATATATTCATAATTTTTTAACTTCATATTCACAATTATTGAATCTCTATATTCATAATTACAGAACTATATGTTCATAATTATGTTCACAACTCTATGTTCATAATTATAGAACTAAATATGTTTATAATTTTTGAACTATATATTAATAATTATGGACAATTTTAGAACCGTCTCCACCTTGCAAGGTGGACACGGTTCCACAACATAATTTGCCCACTTTATTGCTCTTATTACTTAAATTAAAAAATAAATTAGTAACTACAACAAAAAAATACATACGCATTTAATTAATTTAGAATTAGATGTCTCACAACACATGAAACATGTAGGGGAAAACTACTACTACCAAATATCAACATGTGTTTGTAAGATAAATAGTTCATAGCACAACTAAGATCTCAGTCATATATACAACAAAACAAATCTAAAACTTCATACTCCATATTGCATGATGAATCCTTCTATGATACCACCAATAACCCAATTGCACATGACACACTACCAATAACAAAAAAAAAAAAAAAAAAAAAGAAGAAGACATGTACTGAAGATGAAAACAATAACAATGCTACCTAAAAGAGAATTAGAAAAATTTAAACCAAAAAGAGTATTTATTTAGACTATCGCTTTTAGACTTAGTACTTAGATTAGCGTTATTACAAAGTTGCAAACATTCATTTTTGTGACAGTTATATATAATCAACCTCTCATATATTAACTTGCATTTATATACTTTAAATTACCGATTTAAATAAACAAATTCAACATTTATTTACTTATGCATGAACATCTTCTATATAATATTTCATTAATATGCTTTGAAATACTTATTTAAAAATAAGTATTGGGCATTATCCTATTCGCGCAAAGCGCGTAGAAAAACTAGTAATTTAATAAGAGTAAAATAGAGTACTAATTATGCCAACTTTGATTGGGAGGGGTTCGAACCTAAGACCTTTCTTATTGAAATCAATGAGTAAGTTAACGATGAACTAACAGAAATTAACGGAAAAGATAATATTTAACGGAAAGGTTAACGGATAATCATATTCATTAAGGATAAATTAGGAAATCTTAAGGAAAAATTAAAATCTGATCAATCTGAGCCATTCATTTGATTAAAAAATTTGACCACCATTTTTTCTACCAATTATAGACCTAACTCTCTTGGGCTCTTATTAGTATAGTAATAGTAGATTTAATGAGTAAGTTAAAAATAATAAATAGTTAACGGAATATTCCGTTACTAAAATTTATACTAACAGAATTTAGGTTATTTAAGGGAAAAAAATAATAGAATAGAGGGTAAATAAGAAAAATCATTTAACAATACTAAAATCAAAACAATATGAACCATTCATTTTAAGAAATAATACTACCAACATTTTTTTGTTCCAGTTAAAGGCCTAATATTATTGGCTCTTATTAGAATTGTATAGATGTAGAATTGTAGATGTTTAATCAAACAGCTAATAGTGGTCAAATAAGTCAAAATTGGTTGATATTAACTATGTTACCAAACATGACCAATTTCTTATAGCTTATATAGTACAAATGTACAATGGTTCATTGTTTTGTGTAATTTGTTAAAGACTTTAAAATGTTACGGAGTATTTTATAACGTTATCAATCAATTTTTCATGCAGTAAAAATATATGTGAAATGATGTAAAAAAAAAAACAAAAAAAAAACATATAAACTGTAAATCTTGGATTAATAAGTTGGAATGAATTGAAGATAATTGAGAAAATAGAAATTGAAGATAATTGGTAAAGAAACTGAAAACATATAATTGCAAATTTTGTTTGAAAGCAGAAATATAAACTTCATTAAAGAGTTAATTACTATTTTGGTCATTAAAGAGTTAATTACTATTTTGGTCCCTATTCTATGTCGAAAGTACCAAATTGGTTATCGACTATCATTTTTGATCAATTAAGTCCTCAAGTATTGATTTTGTGTCTGTTTTGGTCCTCCGTCAATTTAGGTGTTAACTGTCCGTCTCTTTTGAGAGCAAAATAGAACTTCACTCTTCTTCCTAACCAACTCTCTTGTCCTCTCCAATCCTCGCCATCTCCGCTCAAATTCTCAGCCAAAGCCAACTCCAAACCATTGCCGCCGTCCACGGAGGAGGAAAAGAAGTCGTTTGCGGTGGCGATCGGCGAGCTCTTCATTGGCATAACTTCACGGAGGTTCTGTGGGAGCAGAGTATCAAGGATGTAGAAGTCGAGCAGAGAAGGTTCCTGCTGCCAGATTCTTGTTTCCGTACCATCTCAGCCGACGCAAGCATCACTGGCTTTGAGAAGGTCCATAAGAACGACGAGACGGCATTGCGTAAGGTTTATGCCTCGATTGACGCTAGAAAATTCAGAAAATAGTCACGAAGCTCGAATCGAGCCACAGACTGTTGATCAAGCTGCAAATGGTGATGGACGACAGTTACCAGTGATGTTGCTACCGACGTACGCAGAGGCAATGCGAAATTGAAATTGTGATTCTGGAATGAAGTAGCGATTACTTGCGAATGAAAATCAAGATATAAATTATGGAAACCTAGATTCAATTCTGCAAAGAAAACATCAAGGCAAGCGGTTAAATCGAAGATCGGGAATTCCCTAATGGTCAAACACCCAAGATTCAACAACCTGATGGCTAGAGATTCATGCGCCCGCGAACGGTGGCATAGAACCCAGGTAAACCTTGACGACCACTTCATCATTCGCCGTGGGCCGCTCAACGACCGTGACACCGTGTCGGACAAGGATGCTGTCAACGAATACCTGGCCGACCTCGCCGCTCCCCTGCGACAAGCCCTTGTGGGAAATTCATCTCCTTTTGGCTCACAACTGCGCCCTCCAAATTCACCATTGTTTGGTTGAGAATGTGAGCGTGGTGGTTGTGTGGAGGTTGCGATTAGGTTAGGCTTTGAGCGGAGAAGGCGAGGATTGGAGCAGACGAGAGAGTTGATTAGGAAGAACCGAAGAAGAGTGAAAGTTATATTTTGCCCTCAAAAGAGACGGTCAGTTAACACCTAAACTGACGAAGGACCAAATCGGTCACAAAATCAATACTTGGGGACTTAATTTGGCCAAAAATAATAGTCGATGACCAATTTGGTACTTTCGTCATAGTCAAGGGACCAAAACGGTAATTAACTCTTCATTAAACGTTCCCCCGACCGTATTATGACTACAAAATCTTATTCTTCTATTACTAGTTCCGTTCCTAATGTAATTACTCAAAGGAGAAATTGAGTGTCATCCCCACCCAATACTAGTTCTTCTTATCTTTTTTATTTATTTTTTATTCATTTGATCCTATACAAGGAGTGAGCGAACCATTTCGTAAGAGGCACGAACGTTCTCAAATAAGTAAAGGAAACTCTAGTTCCTATAATAGTACATCCTAACAGAGGACGACCATACTTGTTCAATTTATCTCTCTCAAGTTGAATATTTTGAATTTGGAGAAAAAAAATTCTATAATGTAAAATTATAGCTTCAACATTTATTCAGATAAATATCATGAAATAATTTTTAGAAGGGTATCAAATTTCACTTGGTAAAATGAAGTCTCAATTTTTATTTTTTTTTATTTTTTTTTATTTTTATAACTCAAAATTTATGTTTCACCATAAATTCGTCCTAAGACCTTTAAAAGTCCCAATTTTACTTATAAAAAGATTATAGACTTATGTAACCTTAAATTATTAGAACAACTCAATATCTTATTTTCTTCCAATTATACTTATTGTCACTTTTTATACTTTAATAATTGTTTGTGAATTAATTTTTATCTTTAAATTTTGATTAAAAAATTATTTTGTAAACCATTAAGAGATTAAATAATCAAAATGAATATAAATAAATAATGTAAAATATTTTTTTTCTAAATTTTTCTTCCAATCTTTCTCTCCTGATGTGATTTCATTCATTGAGTGTCTATAACATACTAAAGTACTAATTAATATGGAGTAATTTTTTTTAATTATCCAATTATGTACCACCATGTAAAAATGAATAAAAAAAATATATATAAGTAGAGTGTCTAACATTCTTCAAAAAAAGAATAATTTTTCAATTTTTTTTAGATGACAAGAAAAACCCACAACTCTTTTGGTGTGAGTAAATTTCACATTGTAACATTAATTGACAAAGGACCACAAGGAAGTTGATCGACTCAAATCAAAATGACAAGAATTCAAACTCAAATTACAAGCGTGAATCTCTTTCCATCTTGACTAAGAATACCCCATAAATTTTCAATTTTATTTTTTTTAAAAACATAAAATTGCAAAATTATGGGTAACCCCAGCCAATTTTATTTGAGGTTGACATGGATAGAGATATTTAACGCTAATGGGGGAAAGAAATTATGGTGTACCCCATCTACATTATCTGTCTCTCCAATCGCCTACGCGGCAGTCAAAATCTAGCGCGTAAGAATCAGGTTTCACACGGTAAATGGCGCTGTAACTATGAAAAACAGACCGACCACAAACTCTTCACATCTCTCCCCTCCGCTGCTTTAAATATCCAATCCTCCTCCTCGCCACCACTACCGCCACCGTCAAACGCCATTCGCATCTAGAGAGAGGAAGAGAAAAGGAAGCTCTAGATAGAGGAGTTGAGTGAAAGTGTGAGGTGAAAGAAATGGCAGGAAGAGTAGATCTGGACGGGAATCCCATAAAGCCGATGACAATATGCATGATAGGCGCCGGAGGTTTCATAGGCTCTCACCTGTGCGAGAAGTTGATGTCGGAGACGCAGCACAAGGTGCTGGCTGTGGACGTGTACAATGACAAAATCAAGCACCTCCTCGAGCCCGCCTCCCTCACCTGGGCCGATCGCATCCAGTTCCACCGCCTCAACATCAAAAACGACTCTCGTCTCGAAGGCCTCATCAAGATGGCAGATCTGGTAATTTCTCCTCATTCCATCACATTCCGCACGGTGTTTTCCTTCGGTTTAACATTCGTTTTTACGCATTTTGACATTCCGGCGCCATTCCTGCGAAATTCGTCGCGTTTTTCGTCCGACGTCTTTTTAGTTTTCTCAATTTTGAGTTCACTTGAGTGTTACGGTGTTGTTGCATGGCATTTCTTATGGTTCCCAACTTGAAGTTCTAACCAGCTAAGTTACCTGAGCCATTTTCCTCGACTGGATCTAATGTTCTTGTACACTTTGATTCTTCAGAAAAGTTAAAGAAGCTTTTCTTCGTAATGTTTTGTTTGATTTTGAAAATGTCGCGTATTTGTTGTGGAATCATGTGTTCAGTCGTTTCTATTCTTATAGTGACAGATGTAATTATACACTTGCTCTGTTTTTACTGTTCTTCAATCTGAGCTTCAGTGCAATTTGGTCCTGAGTTTGAAATGTGGCTCTCTCTGGACTTGACTTGTTTATGCTTATTGTGGTGCAGACCATTAATCTTGCTGCGATCTGCACACCTGCCGATTACAACACGCGTCCACTTGACACAATCTACAGCAACTTCATTGATGCACTGCCTGTGGTATGAAAATATCTGATTTTTTTTTATTGTTATTGAAAGAGATGATTTTGGTTAAGTCCAGTTGACAAAGACTAGTTTGATTTAGTTTTTGCTATTTTGTTATCTAAAATAATTTTACCGGTTGAAGTGGTGATGATGTTTATTTTGGAGTTCAGGTGAAGTACTGTTCAGAGAATGGAAAGCGACTTATTCACTTTTCCACTTGTGAAGTTTATGGGAAAACCGTAGGTTGCTTTTTACCCAAGGATAGTCCATTACGACAGGTGAGTAGTCTCTCTCTCAGTCTCTTGTATTAAGGTTAAATTACAACTATAGATCTGTGGTTTCTAAGCATGGTGTATGTTTGATATATGCTGGTGTTTGATCTTTCTTCTTCCTCTTGAATAGTTTTTCTACTGCAATTTCTTTTTGCTGGGCCCTGTTATTATCAGCTCATTTGCAAAATGTTCTGCTAGTGTGTAGAATTTCCTTTTTGCAGTTGGTGTTTGAAAACTCATTGGATAAGCTTATTGTAGAAAGTGATGTGAGGTTATTTTGTAAATATCATCTAACATGGATTAGGATAAGAATAATCTGACTCGAATTAATGCTTTGATTCTGCAACTTGCCATCTCTTTACTATTGATTCTTAGTGTCTTTCTGATGCACATTGTGACACAAGGAATTTCAAATTTCATGTCTGCAAGACATTAATGAAGCTTCTGTTTTACTCTGAGTTCTATGTGATGTTTGCTACAAAATCATGACTTCTGTTGGGTGATAATTATGGATTCAAGTGTATTTTGAGCATCACTTTTCAATTGTCTTATTGTCAAGAAGCTAAATAATCTTGTTATATGGATGAACTTTTAAATTGCAAATTGGTATTCTAACAGCAAATCATTTGCAATATAGCAATGCATGCGTTCTATTCTGAACATGCTCTATAAAAAAGATTTTTATTTTATGTTTACATTATATATTTTAGGATCCTGCTTACTATGTCCTCTCTGAAGATACTTCCCCCTGCATTTTCGGCCCAATTGAGAAGCAGAGGTGGTCCTATGCATGTGCAAAGCAATTGATTGAGAGGTTGATCTATGGTATGTGAAATCTACTCTGGATATCTGGACATGTCTCGTTCACCATTTCTCATGTGCTACTTATGGTTACAGCTGAGGGTGCTGAGAATGGACTTGAATTCACCATTGTCAGGCCCTTCAATTGGATTGGTCCTAGGATGGATTTCATTCCTGGCATTGATGGTCCCAGTGAGGGTGTCCCAAGAGTGTTGGCATGCTTCAGTAATGTATATGATACTTCTTGTTTTTTTTTTTTTTTTGGAATAAGGGTCAAATAGGCCATCGAACTGCACATGATAATGCAATTAGGCCACTGAACGTAAAAAACCAACAATTAGGTCCCTAAACTAACCAATTTCAAACAATTCTTCCAATTTCAAGGTTTCCAACAGGTCAACAGGTTATCCTCTCAAGTTAATTGTTTTTTTTTTTTAAAGTAAATTTTAAAAAATAATTAATTTTAAATTTTGTTAAAAAAAAAAAAAAACAGACTCCGGCCGGAGACAGTCCTGTTTTTTTTTGTTTATTTATTTATTTTTTAAATATAAATAATTAATTTTAAAATTTTATTTTTAAAAAATAATTAATTTGGAAGGATGACCTGTTGACCTGTTGGAAACCTTCAAATTGGAAGAATTGTTTGAAATTGGTTAGTTTAGGGACCTAATTGTTGGTTTTTTAGGTTCAGTGGCCTAATTGAATTATTGTGTGCAGTTGGATGGCTTATTTGACCCTTATTCCTTTTTTTTTTTTAAAGTCTTAAACTGCTTTCATTGTCAACTGGTATTGTGCTCTATATGTAACATTCTTGTCTCTATTTGCTCAGAACCTCTTAAGGCGTGAACCACTAAAGCTTGTTGATGGAGGCCAATCCCAGAGAACCTTTATATACATAAAGGATGCTATTGAAGCTGTTGTCTTGATGATTGTAGGTTCAACCTTCTTGTCCTTTTAGTTTTGCCTCTTTAAAAGCTATAATTTCTTAGCTGATTTCCATGTTTCTACTCAGGAAAATCCTGGCAGGGCTAATGGCCATATTTTCAATGTTGGCAATCCTAACAACGAAGTTACAGTTAGGCAGCTTGCCGAAATGATGACACAGGTAAAGTAAACTGGAATATTTTTCTCTGTGAATTCCAGTAAACATATTTCGCATGCATTGCGAGTTTTGCTCATCTCTTTTCCTTGTGTTACCCAGGTATATTCAAAGGTGAGCGGAGAAGCTTCTCTTGCATCACCAACCATAGATGTTAGTTCTAAAGAATTCTATGGCGAGGGATATGATGACAGTGACAAGAGAATTCCAGATATGACAATAATCAACAGACAACTTGGTAATTACTATTTTCCACGTTTTCTTAAATTAAGTATTCTTTCAGATTCAAGAACATGATCTCAAAGTTGGATTGTTTAATAACCAGGTTGGAATCCAAAGACATCACTATGGGATTTACTTGAATCGACACTCACATACCAACACAGAACATATGCTGAGGCTATCAAGAAGGCACTCTCGAAATCAACCGCTAGTTGAGTTTAAAAAGACGGTGTGTCGAGCTACTCATGGACAGGTTCATATTCCTTTCAAGAATAATAGAAAATATCTAAAGTCATCCTAGATGGAGTTCTCATGCAGCAAAGTTTTGTCATTCAAGTGTCACTGCTAGTCGATAATAGTAGCTCATAGTCCCTACATGTTTGGGGAGCATGTTGTACCATTCTGTTCTGCACTTCTGCTTGTTCAAACTGCTTGTTCCTAATCTGCCAATACAGTTTATTTATTTATTTATGTGTTATGTTTATTTTATTTTTAATTTCTGACTTCCTGGCTTTGAGTTGGGTGATTGTGCTTGGGCCGGAGTTTTTCTTAACCAGTAGTGGATTAATATATGATGTCACACTATAGCAGTATGGTGTTGAAAACCAGTTGCTTTTAATGAAGTTTCTAAATCAGTAATCAGGGAATTTGGTGCACTTGGTAAGTGAATTAAGAAATAAAATGTTCTCAATTTTTTTTAGATAATGCTTCTTCGAACAGTAGATTTATAGATTTTTTATTTGGAACATTATTTTTACATGTGAATGATCAATTATAGCACATTAGATGTTCTTCCCATGTTTTAAATTTATGTGTTTAAGATGGATTTCAAAATTTGAGTAATTTAGTTGAAATGATTAGAAGATGTGATGCAATATAAAAATTTATTTTAAAATATTGTGTGCACAATATGATTTTAAAAAAATACATTTTATTTTAGATACATCTTTTGGATGCAATTTTGCATATAAAGTGATACTCCATCTGTCCCGAATTGGTTGTCTCATTTGCTTTTTGCACGCTTTTTAATGAATTAAAGTAAATGTTATGTATTTTCTAATTATGCCCTTCATTTTTTCACTTTTGGAAATAAAAGTCATAAGGGTAATTTGGGAAAAAGTAGAATGATGGTGATGTTCAATTTTGGAAAGAGGACAACATTTTGGGACAAACTAAAAAGGAAAGTAAGACATGCAAAATGGGACAGAGGGAGTATATAAAAACTGCTACATATGAGGCTATAATTGCTTTGTATAATATTATTCAAATGAGTGATGTTGATGTAAATCTCCCTATACTTATATTGGGAGTTGTCATTTACCCTTGAAAAATGACACCCTTATTTAGCCATTGATTTAAAATCATGTGGCTAAAAAATTTTGATCTAATTTTTGCTTTATTTTGTATTTTCAAGTTGGCCTCAGGTTTAAAAAATAACAAGTTTGCTCTTATTTTTTGTTTTCTTCTTCTCTTATCTCGTATCTTCTTTTCTCCAACCACTCAATAATTCTAACCACTCCATCTTGTCGAATGCGACCTTCTTCTTGGCAAACCTTTTCTCTAGCTTGGGAGCCATGGAAATCTTCGGTGTTCTTCCACCCGTTGTTACAACAGGACTTCATCCACCACGTACGCCAGCTAAATCCCTTGGGAAATTTGAGGAAGCAAGAAGACGAAGGAGTCGGCGGGCAAATTCATTTTTTTTTTTTTTTTTCTACCGACACTTTAACCATTCGTTCATTTTGTTTTCTTCTTTTTCTTCTCCACCTACTCTAAGTCATTTACTTCAATATAATTATTCCTCTTCATTATTGGTATATTTTCTTTGGCAATGTTGAAATTATTGAAATTCTTCATGTTTAATTTCTAATCTGTTATAAGCATGTCTCAAATTTTTTTTTTTTTTTTGAATATATATATATATATATATATATATATATATATATATATATATTACACTTTGTTTTAGTTTTTTATTTTACTTTTTTATTTTTTATGGAGTAAAGTGTAAATGTTAAAAAGAAAACAAAGGTATTGTCTTCTTGTTACTCCTAATTTTTAAAAGTTGAGAAGAAGGCAATGGTATTTGCTTTCTTTTCACTTCTAATTTTTTAAAAGTTGAGAAGAACGCAAAGGTATTTGTCTTCTTTTTACTCTTAATTTTTTAAAAGTTGAGAAGAAGGTAATAATAGACAGTTTTTATTACTTCGAATTTGTTTTTTGTTTTTGTTTTTTTTTTAATTTTTTATTTTTATTAAATATTAATTAATAACATAAACAAAGATTTTTAAAATTTAAATAGTCATTTATAGTACGGTGAATTGCATGTGTTGGTTTTATGATTTTTGGATAGTCACCGACTAGTCTACACAATCATCCTTTATATAATAAAGCTATATGGTTTGGGAAATAATTAATGTTACAATTAATGCCACAACATCCTTTATTATAAAAAAAAACACAACATTTAAAAAATAAAATAGATATATATTATATAATCATATAAAAAAATATACTTTTGAAAAATAAAATAGCTATATATTATATAATCATATAAAAATGTGTTCAATTAGAGTTTAAATTTACACATACAAAATTTGAAATTTGCTTTCCAAATGTAATTATCTTAGCTATTATTTGTATTGTGAAAATTATAATATAGATGAAATACAATTAAGAATAAATCAATGTAATTATGTAAATTATCTCTATAAGTTTATTTGAATATGCACATAATTAGAGATTATATTAATCATACAAAATTATAATTATAATTATAATTATAATTTTAATTGTAATTTTGTATTCTATAAAAATAATAAATACTTGACCAATGGAAGCTCAAAAATATTATTATATTAAATAATTTAAAATATTTTAGTTTTTCTATTTTTTATATATATTTATAACAACATAATTTTTTCCGTGCATCGCGCGGGTGAATTACTAGTTAAAATAATGAGTATATGAGAAAAAATATACAAATAATATATAGAGAATTTGAGAGAGAATAAATATTTTGTATTGTTGAGAATCAATTGTTATACTGTGCACCAGGGCGCACATAGCAATGTGCGCCCCGCGCCTCCCAAAACGACGTCGTTTTGTTAAGTTGTTAAAAAAAATCATCTTTTTTGAATGCACATAAACTCATAACAGAATACACATAAACTCATAACGGAATGCACATAATCTAACATAATACATAATACACATAAACCATTAACATAATACACATAAACTATAACATAATACACATAAACTCTTAATTGAATACACATAAACTCTTAACTGAATACACATAAACTCTTAACTGAATACACATAAACTCATAATACAATACACAAACTTTAACTGAATACACATAATGGGGTTTGGTTAATATAATACACATAAACTCTTAACTGAATACACATAAACTCATAACACAATACACATAAATTTTTAACTGAGTACACATAATGGGGTTTGGTCTGTTCGGACGGACGGAGTGACGTCAGCAAGAAACGCGCGCATTTTATGCATGGGCGCACATTGCTATGTGCGCCGTGGTGCACGATATAAATTGCCGTTGACTCGTTGAGAATTGCTTGTCTCTTCTACATATACAATCATTATTGTGTGGACCATATTTTGTATACTGTAAAATAATGTATATTCAATACAAAAATAATGTACATTGTATTCAGGGGATGTACATTATTTTTGTACTGAGTGTACATTATATTGTATAATGTACATTCAGTACAAAAATAATGTACATTTAGTATATTAAAAATGTAGTTTTGATTATGGTCCACATAACACTGTGTGGACCATGGTCCATACAATAATTTGCCCTACATATATATGTGGGTCTATTTATACATATTTTGGTCCATACAGGAATAAGAGTGCTTTATATTCGGAGTCCTATATATTAAAATTAGGCTTAATACAAGATAGGTCCAATTCTTGGTGGCAGTTTATGTCGTGGACCAGGGTTGTGGGCCCTGGATCAAAACGACTTCGTTTGATATTTAAGTTTTAACAGATTTCGTAACTTTTCGTTTCTTATGTTTCAACACAAATTTTAATTTATTTAGCCTTTTAGGTACAAAAACTTTACGCTTAATGTACAAAATTGTGTAACATTATGTACAGAAACGCATAACACGAGATACATACACATGTTTTCTATTTTACTTATTCTGAGATTTGATTTATGTAAATAATTAATGTCATATTGGCACATAAGTGCATAATATAAGACATAAATTCATAAAATAAGACATAGAATGTATTTTGTGTTATACAACTACTAATCAATTTCATGTACAAAATCCTTATGTTTAATGTACAGAATTGCGTAACATGTTGTATAGAAATGCATAACATGAGATACATATACATGTTTTCTATTTTACTTATTCTTAGGTCCGATTCATGTAAATAATTTATGTCCTATAGACACATAATTTCATAATACAAAATATAAATTCGTAAAACAAGGCAAATAATATATGTAAGATATATATATATATATATATATATATATATATATATATATATATATATATTTGAGAGAGAAAGAGAGGAATAGGAAAATAATAATATTTTATTGCTTCTCGATGATGTCAAATACACTGTAATACAATATATTTATAGTGAAAGCTAATGAAATAAATTCCTAAAATTATGGCCACGTAGCACTCCATGACTCCATGTACTACTTCACACTATGCCCATGTAATACCATGCTGCAATCCCATGGCTAAACTAATGCTAAGCATTGCCACATAGTACTTTAATTTCTAACAACTAATTACTAGCTACTTGGTTTAACAATTATAATAATAATATTATTATAACATTGCCTCCTTTAAACCAAGTTGGATATATTGGTCATTCCAATATCTCCTTCTTCAATTTAAGAAATGTCTTCGTCTTCAAGTTGATATACTGACTTGTATTTCGTTCTGTAAACCCACTTGACTCCAATTGACTTCTTTTCAGGAGGTAAATCTGTTAACTCCCAAGTACGACTCTTTTCAATTGCACGAATCTCCTCATCCATCGCCTTAAGCCAATGAATTTCTGTAGCAGCCTCTTCAACGGATAAAGGGTCACAATCTGCAAAAAGAGCAAATTGAATAATCTCTTCATTCGACAGGTCATTATCTTGACCCAAAACATAATCCTGCAAGCGAGTTGGTAAGTGGCGCTCGCGTTTAGATAGTCGAACTGACGACTCTGGCTGTGAAGGAGACTGGACATTATCTGGAATCGGTTGCTCATCAACAATATTTTCAACAACAGGAATAACAACTGAACTTTCATCTTTAGCTGACCAATCCCAAGCACCATATTCATCAAAAGTGACATCACGGCTTATAACAACCTTTTTAGTTTCAGGATTGTATAGTTTATAAGCCTTTGAAGCGTCACTATAACCAATGAATACGCACTTCTCACCTTTATCATCCAACTTCTTTCTCAATGGAT